GCAGCCCAACCTGGCCCAGGTCACCCATCAGGGGAGTCACTGGGGCACTGAGCAGTTGTATGTGAATCTGCTGAGGTTCCGACCCATTGAACCGGTCTGTGCACTTGGTAGGTTAGTAAATCCTTACACGTGCTGGGTGGCATTCATTTCTTGAAAACCAGCCTGGGCAGAGAGAGACAGAGTGGCCTTTGGGACCAGGCAGATTTAGGTTCAAACTCTTCTTTCTCTGACGCATTAGGTTTTGACCCAGGCAGCTGCTCTGTGTCACCACACCTCAGCCCCTCAATCCATTCTGAGTTCATTTTTGTACACAGTGTGAGAAAGTGATTAGCTTCATTTTGTTTACATGCACCTGCTCCAGTTTCCCCAACACCATTTATTGAGGGGCCTGTCTTTCCCCCATTGAGTGCTCCTGCTGTTTCTGTCTCAGATTAATTGACCACATGGGTATGGGTTCATTTCTGGGCTCTCTGTTCTGTCCACTGGTCCACCTGTCTGCTTTTTGGACCTGTATTTTACTGTTTGGATTCTGAGAGTTTGTCAGCATACTTGGATATCAGGGAGTGTGATACCTCCAGCTTTGTTCTTCCTCCTCAAGACTTGGGGGCTTTGGTGGGGGAGCCACATGGTTTCCGACATCACTTCCAGCCTCACCTTCTGTGGTCCTTGCTGAGTGGGTCTCTGCCCATCCCAATAGATGCCCACAAGGACATTCTCTCTTTGGCACCTCACCACCTGCAAGGAAAACCCTGTGAGAACACGTCCCTGGCACTCTGGGTACACGCCTCGTTCAGAACTCTGGATGCTGCAATTCTGACTTGCCAAGCAGCTTAGCAAACACAGTCCTCAAATCCTGATCACGTCATCCTGACTTGTCCCAGCCTGAGACCTGCTGCTCACCTCCAGGCGTGTCGTAGAGTCGCTCCAGGGGTCACTCAGGGAACCGCGGCCCGGGCACCAGCCTGGCCTGCTCTGGGCTGACTGACTGCTTATTTGCTACTCTTTTACTCTTTCCCTGAGTTTGACAAGGGACTTCTGAAAGCCCAGGGAAGCAGGCGATCCCTCACAACAGCCTCTGACCAGAGGAGGCCCGGTCCTGAGGCCCATTTGTAATATGTTCTGCTTTTCATTCTCTTTAGACCTCAAAGCTTTAAGCTGCCAGGTAAAGGCTCTCTAGGGATTAAAGTAAACCTCTCAGTGAAAAAATATGCCATTTATAATTTGCATGTTGCTTCTTTTTAAATAATTTGGATTTGGGTTTCCATTTATGGTTCAGACAGATTGGCCTCCCTCATCTCTGTCATCTATTTCCTTGTCAACAATTTATTATCTCTCCATCCATCCATCCATCCATCCATCCATCCATTCTGACAGACTATTTGATCCTCCTGTTAGAATGTGAACCCTTCGTGGCAGGCAGCTGTGGATGCCCGGTGCCCCGTGCAGACCCCAGCTCTGCAGTGAAGGGTTGTCCTTGACTGAAGTCACGGTTGCTGCAAGACCACCAGGTGGACAGCAAGATGGGTGAGGAGACCCTGTAATTTCATGTTCTGGCCCATCAGTGGCTCCCTACTGCTTCTGCAACCAGAGTTTAAGCTTCTAGCCATGAACTCAATGTCCTTCTTATTTGATATTTCTAACCTGGAACACTGAACTAGAATGTAGGTCTATTTATTTCATCACTAAAAAATGCAAGCAGCCCTAGCTGGTGTTGTTCAGTGGATAGAGCACTGGCCTGTGGACTGAAGGGTCCCAGGTTCGATTCCAGCCAAGGGCACATGCCTGGGTTGCGGGCTCCATCCCCAATAGCAGGCGTGCAGGAGGCAGCCAATCAATGATTCTCATAACTGATGTTTCTCTCTCTCCCTCCCTCTCCCTTCCTCTCTGAAGTCAATTTAAAAAATGTTTTTAAAAAATGCAAGCAAAATTCCCACACCAAGCCACTGTAGATCACCTCACTGCTTCTTATGTTATTGAATTTTCCAAATTGCTAACTGAAAGGTAAGAACTTCTTTACCCAAAGACAGAAAAGACAACTGCATTCAGCCACACCTGGGCCCTCACACCTCCCATGGGGTCCACACAGGAAAACAGGAGCTTTGCAGCACCCGGGACTTGACCATGGTCTTCATGGAAATAGAGTGATCTACTTATTCTCCTTGAGAATGCCTGTCTTTGGATGCTTGTATAGGTTTGGGCATAAGCTACACCCCAGTCAGCACCCTGATTGACGGGTTTGATGCCCAATCCCAGCAGCTCAAAACCAGGCAGCCACCAAGAACAAACTTCAGTCATGAGTTAAGTTACGCAAAAGGTTACAAACAGTGCTGGCTGTGTTATCTGTGCTCATTCTCCAATGATGGTATTATTAAAACAGAGAAAAAACATTTTCAAGCAAAAGATTGATGAAACACTGAATGAAAAATAATGTCCTAAGTATTCAAAACTCTTTTTACTGCATTCCATCTTCAGGAAGACCTAGAGCAGCGATGTTCACCTATTTTCATCTCACGGCACATAAACTACTTAGCAAAGTGCTGCGCACCCCAATATACATATTTCTGGCCGATCTGAAAAAAAAGTATTATTTTGATTCATTCAATCCATTCCTACTTTTCTCAAAGTCGCTCAGCAAATTGGGAATGGCTATTGTTGTACTGGCTGTTGTCTTTTTTTTTTTTTCTCACAATCTAAGGAAAAGAGGCCAGTGCTCCTGAGTAAAGAGTCAGGTATTAGTGTATGTTTTACAAATTCTGTGGCACACGGGTCGGAAATCGCTGACGGGGGCCCTCTGATGCCATGGGACTCGCCGATGTCACTTCTCTCCTCATTTGTACTCGTGATGTGATGAGTTAAAGTCAGGAAGAAAGGAAGGAAAAGAAAGAGATGGAAAGTGATCACGGGCAGATGCTTGCTTATTGTTTCTAGAGTGTTCACGTTCATCCTATATAATAAAAGGGTAATATGCAAATTGACCCTAACAGCAGAGCGACTGGGAATCACTGGTCACTATGACACACACTGACCACCAGGGGGCAGACGCTCAATGCAGGAGCTGCCCCCTGGTGATCAGTGTGGTCCCACGGGGGGAGCTCTGCCCAGCCACAAGCCAGGCTGACAGCTGCCAGTACAGCGGTGGTGGCGGGAGCCTCTCCCGCCTTCTCAGCAGCGCTAAGGATGTCCGACTGCAGCTAGGCCTGCTCCCCGCTGGCAAGTGGACATCCCCCGAGGGCTCCCAGGCTGCCATAGGGATGTCTGACTGCCAGCTTAGGCCCAATCCCCCAGGGAGCGGGCCTAAGCCAGCAGGTGGTCATCCCCCGAGGGGTCCCAGACTGCGAGAGGGCACAGGCCAGGCTGAGGGACCCTCCCGAGTGCACAAATTTTTGTGCACTGGACCTCTAGTAAATTAATAATAAAAGATAAAACATACTTTGTCTTTAATACAGAATATACACTACTGCACTCCCCTTGCAAGTAGCATGTAGGAAAAACTATTTAGAAACTGCAGTAACTGTGTGGTCTGATGCTTTATGGCACCACCGGCCCCGCTGCAACCACACTCGACACTCACCCACAGAAAAGGGCAGTGCTCGGTAAAGCCTTCCTGTCACTCCAGGACCAGTGACCAGTTTACAGACTAGGAACCAATGTTTGGAACAAGGAGACATCCCACTCACACAGGTGCCCTCCCGTCTGCTGGGAGCCTGCACCCACCTATTAGTGAGACAAGACAGGCCACACGCCTCACGTCGCCATAGCTCTTCCTCTCTGTTGTGTGTAATGAGGTCATTCTATGTGCCGTTCTTTCATGAACAAATGAAACTGAGCTGCCACAGTGACTACCGCTCCTTCTTTTTAAAAGCAATTACAAGCTTTTTATTCACTCAGATTGAGGTACAAAATTTGGTTTCCTCAAAGTCGCTCAGCAAATTCCGGGTTAGGAAAGGGCTTCTCAGCCCCCAGCACACACTCTGCCTGATCCTCACGCATCTGACATCTTCTCCAGAATTCACTCTGAGGGATCCTTTCCTC